TCCCAACTACTCGGGAGGCTAAGGTAGGAGAATCACTTGAACTAGGGAGGATACAGTGAGCCAAGACTGCACCACTGCACTCCAGCCTGGGAGACAGAACAAGACTTCATCTCAAAAAAAAAAAAAAGTAGTTTTGGGATAATTGTATAAAAAAAAAAAAAAAAAAGGATCAAATAAAATCAGAGACAGTATTCACGGGTTATGGATTAAAGTCACATTGACACTCAATGAAATCATAACTGCTATAAGTCATTAAGAATAAATGCATTAGCAAATGTGAACTGCTTTAATCTGATCAGGCAGTGCTTGAATCCAACTATTTTTCACTTAAATTTTCTAGACAGAATGCTGTCAAACTGTAGAATTTAAGAGAATCAAACTGAATGATTTCATACAAGCAGTCACCAACTTACACAGAAATCATAAATGCCTCCCTTTATACAAAGTTTCTAGTACTTTTACCTCCACATATTTTACAACATCACCCCCAACCCTCTTAATTTTGCCCCAAGCCTCCTACCCATTGCCAAGGTTCCACCTCACTCCCCCTCTCACGGCCAGGGGGAAGTAAGTTTCTGGAATCCAGAGTAAAAACTCAGGAACGCATTTTCCTACAGAAAAAAATATAAATTGTGATCTAGAAGGCTGAGTATTATCGTTCAGCTACACTATATTTATAAAGGCTTTTGTGAACTAAAGCCTAAGAACCTAATAATTCAGAACAATATTTCTATGAGAAAATGCATTCCAGGTTCAAAATAATTCAATGCAATCCCTTTGTAGGTTGGTGACTGCCTGTATAATGCCACCAAGTGATACACGTTTTACTAAACTCACATTAAATTCCAAATGGCTCTGTAGTATGACGGCTCTACAACTGTGAACGTGCTATGTCAATCATTTTCTAAGAAATATTAACCATATTAATTTAGTTAAAAATTGCTCTAATACTTACATTTAGCATTTCAAAATCGTTACTTTCTAAACCCTGGGTAAGAAGAACTGGAAAGCTATTCGTCTGGAGGTCATCCTTTCCTTTTTTGTGTGTGTCTATATCCATTGCTCCCAGGCGTTCTTCAATGCTAACCTACGTAACAGAAAGAATTTGTTAATGTGTTGCCAGACAAGACTTAAAGCAGTTTGGAGACAAAAAAAACAAAACAGGATTTACACCTCAACCCTGGAAAATACTAATACACTCATTCTCATTCCAAGAGAACCTCATTACCATAACGCCAACGTTGGAGACAGGTGAGATATCTGCAATCCAAGCTTCCAGATTCTAGCGGAAAAAAAAAAAACTGCCCAAGAAGCACATGGTTTAAAAATGTTAATGCATAAAAAGCCTTGTATATGAAGATTCAGAAAAGGCAAGGACTTGGTGTCTGATTCTCAAACACAAGAAAAGACCTATTCTCAGAGACGCTTGCCCCACTATAACTATCTCTTGATATCACCCTCAGATCTGCAGGAGGAAACAAGATATTATTATTAAAGGGTATAAAGACTGTTATGGTCCCAAAACAATTTGTAAAATGTCTTCCTATTTTTGTTAGTCAGCTCCAAATGATGTATTAGCTAGAATATGCTATACTACAACTAAGTGTCCTTGATAAATACTTCAAATTTACATGTAAATAAACATGATGCAATATGCTATACAAAAACTCAATTATGGTCTGTGTGTGGTGGCTCTCGCCTGTAATCTCAGCACTAGGCAAGGCTGGGGCAGGCGAATCACTTGGGCCCCGATGTCTGATAAACAGCCTGGACAACATGGCAAAATCCTGTCTCTACAAAAAAATTAGCCGGGCATAGTGGCATGCGTCTGTGGTCCCAGCTACTAAAGAGGCTGAGGTGGACGGATCACTTGAACCCAAGAGGTAGAGGTTGCAGTGAGCTGAGAGCAAACCACTGCACCCCAGTCTGGGTGACAGAATGAGACCCTGTCTCAAAAATGAAATAAAAACAACAACAATAACAAAAAAAAAAAACCACCACCCTCAATTGTATAGAACTGATCCCTGATTAAAGCAACTCTAACATGTTCTGTCAGCCCCTTGGTAACTAATTCAAAAAGAAATTTGTTCTATGACTAACAAAGCAAACAGGTGTGCTTGGTTTATCCTAACACAAAATATATTAAAAAGGACATGGAGAAATTATAAAGTTGAATCTAGGCCAAGCCAAAGAAAGTTGGTACTTTATTTAAAGTCAGCTGAGGAGTAATTTTTATGACTATGTTATGACCATGTTTTACGAAGCTATGTTATCCCCACCCCCACCACCCAATAAACACCTTTAAAATCAGCTAAATTATCTTCAAAAGTGGACAAAGAATAAAAATTAAAGTAAAATCAGCTAAAGAACCATAGTATTTCTGTAAGAATAAAACAGTTAAAATTGCAGATGCCTTATATAACAGGGAAGAATGTGAACAGACGAAAAAAAAAAAAAAACTCTGCACAGATATGTACAGTAACCACAATGGATTTGGGGTTTGGGAAGAAAATGAAGATCATAAACACTTATGGAGTTATAATGACTATCACTTTTAGATACCAACTGGCACTAAGCTAGCCAGGATTGCTCAGACAGCCAAGAGAAAAGAGGCATCACTGGAACTCAGCAACATGCGAAACCCAATGATAGTCATCACAGCAAGTCCTGGCTTGACTTATTCAATTTTATGTTGCCCAGCTAACTACTAACTAATGGCCAAAACCGCACTCTCTTTAGTTACTAAAGGTTCCGTCTTCTCCGTTAAACAGAGCCCAAAGGGGACAATCTAGAATTTTGAAACCTATGATGGTGAAGATAAAAGAGAGCATAAGAGCAGAAATCTCAGTAAATTTCTAAAGCTTTAACTTTGGCTCTATCCAGGACACCTGATAGAATCTCCCAGTAATTTTAAATCACAAACTCAAATACACAGAGTGGTTGCATTACCTCATTTCCCCCTGATTTCCTCTTGCTCTCTACTTGCTCGGTTTGTGGAGGAGCAGGCTTGATAGCTGCATGATGACCAGGAATCCCAGGCACCAGAACTTTTGCTTCAGAATTCATCACTGGTGTCCTCACCTGTTCAACAGGTATAGCCAGGGCATGAAAAAGGAAATCATACCTTAGTCCTTATGTATCCTCAATGAGAAAACAGCTTTTAAAGGGCTCTTCTATTGGAAAAATGCAATATAAGTAATTTAATATGATATGAATTAAAGATACATTATTAATTGAATGTTGACTAAATTTTTTAAGTGACAATCTGGAAGACTGAATTTAAAGTTGACAATACAGCTGGGTGTGGTGGCTCACGCCTGTAATCCAAGCACTATTGGAGGCCAAGGCGGGCGGATCACCTGAGGTCGGGAGTTCAAGACCAGCCTGACCAACATGGTGAAACCTCGTCTTTAAAAAAATAAATAAATAAATAAAATCTTACAATACTAGGTAAGAGTAAAACCCAACTGGTCTGATGGCAGTGGGTTATCAAAGCTTATCACTATTTAGTGTCACTAATGTTGGCTTACAAGCCCCCACTACTAAATTTGACTGGCTTAAAAAAGAATACAAACAAAATCTACAGATTACATAAGGACACAATGGTTTTGTAAAATTTTAAAGTTACACATTTTATAACCACCTCTAGAATTCAAGCTTTGCCAGAAATGCTCAGACAGCCAAGAGAAAGGTGTCATCTCTGAAACTCAGATAGCAGCGAAACCATATGGATGTCATCATAGCACGTCTTGGCTTTCCCTGTCTCACTGAACCACGGAACATGGTATCTACATGGAGACACCAAGTGATATGCAAAATAGAGCACCATGATGCTCCTCCTATGCTTGTGGTATTAATTCTAGCCCCATGATGGTTTTATCACACCCTGAAATACAGCATTCCTCTCAGCAAAGTGATGCTCTTTTAAGTACTGAGACTGATAAAAGCCATCAATTGATAAACCTGATACTGATATTTATTCCTACATTCTTCCTTGCCCAGATGATGATGCATGGTGGGCAGGGAAGAACCACATCCAAGATCTTCAACTGCTAATCTTCTATTCACTTAAGAAAGCAGGAGTACAATCTTGACATCTAAAACCATAATCCCACAAAATTTATAAGAGAATAAAGATATTAAAGAATAGATAAACTCAGTTTAATCATAATACTACATAACAATTCAATTCACCCAAATTCACCCAAATAAATATTCTTTTTCTTAAAACTTCAAATTTTTAATGTGCTTACCTTTGTTATAGCTGTTTCCACTTTGGGGGCCCAGCAGTTTGAAATATCTCTTACTAAACACATATGAGGTTCTCTGGTGTTTAAAGCCTGAGAATATATTTTTTTAAAGGAGGAGATGAAAGGAAAGAAAGTGTCAAACAAAGCAACTGGGAATAAGAACAAAATGAAAACTAAATGACTGCTTATTTTTGTAAAACATTAAAAAGTAAGGAAGCTTTCCACACTCAACTGTTAACCATGAGCACCACTCAGACTGATGGCAGTTAAGAAAAATGGTAACTCTGAAGACACCGGGTACCAAGGTTTACTTTCCTCAGTTATGAACTGTTTGAAATTTTCACATTTATTGGTTTTAAAAGTCAACAGACTTTTTAAATGTAACAGGTTTTAAAGAAATCATATCAGTTCATCATCCTTTTAAGAAATAGTTTGTGCTCAAAATAGTAAATGGTTCTACCCTTAACTCTCCCGTTGTCCTTTTCATAAGCAAGTCAAAGGTCACACTGCTGATTCACAAAATACATCTGTATGTCCTGACATGATATTAAATGGGATGGGGAAGTCAGATATAGCAAACTACATATGTAACAATAAAGGTTTAAAGTGATACATAATTCTATATGCCCGTGTAATTAATCAATATTGGGAAAGATGCAAACCAAATAGTCAACAATGGCTTCAACCAGAGAGGGGGAATGCACATACGGCAAGGAGCCATGTTTACAGCTTAACACTTTTCTTTTTTGCTTTTATTAAACCATATGCATGTATGCTTGTGTAGGCATGTAATATTCCACTCATAGTCTTGCTGAGGACCATACTAAGTAAAAGTATTTTAACGCTAGCTTAAGAAATAACCTATTTAGGGCTGGGTGCGGTGGCTCACGCCTGTAATCCCAGCATTTTGGGAGGCCGAGGCAGGTGGATCATGAGGTCAAGAGATCGAGACCATCCTGGTCAACATGGTGAAACCCCATCTCTACTGAAAATACAAAAAATTTGCTGGGCATGGTGGTGCGTGCCTGTAATCCCAGCTACTCAGGAGGCTGAGGCAGGAGAATTGCCTGAGCCCAGGAGGCGGAGGTTGCGGTGAGCCGAGATAGTGCCATTGCACTCCAGCCTGGGTAACAAGAGCGAAACTCTGTCTCAAAAATAAAAAAAAAGAAAGAAAGAAATAACCTATTTATTGTATGTGCTTGCAATAATTCCCAAGTCTTCATAGAAACATCTGCAGTGAACACTGTTAAATCACTGCACTGCCCATTACATTTCCACTTAGAAAATCCAATGAGTGCTAATACTAAGAGGCCCTTTTATTAAGATTTACATTTTGCGTAACTAAGCAAAATTCAACATAAGTCATACCTGTACTGACCAATTAGTAAGACACTAGGAACTTACTTAGAGCACATTTCAAGTGCTCATGTGTCTACTGGGCACTTGCAACGTGGCTAGTCCAAACTGAGATTTGCTGCAAGTGTGAAATACACACCAGATTTTAAAAACACAGTACCAAGGGAGAGGGCTGAGATAAATAACTCAAACAATGCTTTATACTAACCAGGTGTTAAAATACGTTGGATATAGAGCTCTCACAAATTAAAGCACTCCATGAAAAATCCTTTAATTTAAAAAGAATACATTATTTATCTTAAAGACCAATCACTATCTTCCGTGGACATAGGGATGCTATATTGCTTTACTCCAGAGTAGCAGCTACGTACCACTCGCTCAATAGTAGGCTGAAACCAACTGCCATATACAAGCAACAATGACATTTTGTCTGAGCAAAAACCAGCAGCTAGAATAGGGATGGGTTTTGGTGTTGATTTCTTGCCTTTCCCAGGTGTTGCTATCTGAATTGTGCAGTTTGAAGTCAAAGGCTTTTTGCAGTATCTGGAAATGGAGGGAGGAAAATGAAATTAGAGAATTTGAAAAAATGTTTCACACTAACTCTCTGGACTGACATCAAGTCATGAAATGTGACCCTCCTGTAGCTTCTACACTGCCATCAGGAGTCACCTGGGTCTCTGGACCATGAGTACTCCCTTTCAAGACCTCACCTTCCTCACCACCGAAATCAGCCTTGAGACCTACTTGCCCCTCTGTCCCATTTTTTCAGGCCCCATGAAGAAGCCCCAAGCTGTCAAACGTTCTGTCGCCACCCTGTACTTCAGGTCCTGTGTTGTTCTGTCCAGCCCTGTTCCAGACAGTCCCATCTCCAAATGCTCCCAACCCCCAGAAGCCACAGCAAGCCTCTGGACTGTAGTTCCAGCAGCAAAATTATGTCCTCAATGGCTTCTCTAGGGGCTTTCTTCACATTCTTCCTCTACCCTGGTTTGGCCCTGCAGCACTCCCAACTTGTACCTCTTTTCTCTCCCATACTCTTTGTGCCAGGGGCCTTGGACGTGATTTAAATGAGTTCCTTGTTCTTCACTGACACTTCAAGACAAAAATCTCTCCCTCTTTTGTCCCTAAAATCTTTCAAATTGTTGACACCAATCCCAGCTACCCCTCCCCCCTGCTGCCATCCAATGATCTCTGGGTCATTTCCCCACATTTCTTAAAGATTTCAGTGGCTTGCGGTTATTCCTTCCAACATTACACCAAATGAATTCCTTTCTCAGTGGTTTCCACACTCAAGTGTCCAGGTTGATGGGTGGAAGGACACTTCTGACACTCTCATCTGTCAACTTTCTCAAACAAACATGTCCCTCACTCACTGTATTTCAGCCACAAACTCCTCACACCCTACACATCTTATTAACCCTTCTTCTCTAAAATACACATCCTGCATAATATCCCAGGTCTAAGCATCTCACAATCCCTATCTTTCCAACTTACTCCTCCTATCACCCCGACTCCACAATTACCTCTAGACCCAAGTTTTGGAGTTTCTGCTTTAGCCTTTCCCCCTCTATACAGTCTATTCTAAACGGAATGACTATCTTAAAACTTAGGTCAAAGCTCATGAAATCCTCTGCTTGAAATCCTTCAATGGCTTGCCACTGCCCAGGAAGAGATGCCCGAGTCCTCACTGTGGCCCACTACCTTTGAGCCCCACTTCTTCTGAGTCTCAATTGTACACTCCAGGTACATACATCATTCTATAAATAAAAGCTTCAAGAGTAACACACTAAAATGTAAACAGTTATCTATAGGAGCAGAACTCAATGGAGGGAGACTCAGGTTTTAAAATCAAGTGTCTGGGCATCCTGGATGTTTTAAAATGAGCAGACTTTTTATATAATCTGTTTATAATTAAATAAATTCCTATAATGGTATTTTAAAAGAAGGATACCAATTGACAACAAATGGTTAAAACCATTTTAAAGCTTAACAAAATTGTGTGCATAATGAGTCTCAAGCCGTGTTTTCAGTATACGACAACGTTTGGCAAATTTTCTGAAGAGGGCAAAATAATAAATACTTCAGGTTCTTCAGACCATATACGGTCTCCACTGAATGCAGCCTGCAGGCCAGTTTGCGGACTCTTGATCTACGACCGCTACACAACCTAACAACAATACTCCTCTCTGTCTAAGAAAACAGCAGCACTGGCAAGGGGAAGTAAAGTACTCTCAAAGACAAATAAAACATCATCAAAGTTCACAAGTGAATCTCTCTAACTGAGCCACTTTCTTCTGAAATTTATCATTGGAACTACCAACACTGCCAGGCCTGGTGGCTCACACCTGTAATCCCAGCACTTTGAGAGGCTGAGGTGGGCAGATAACGAGGTCAGGAATTCGAGACCAGCCTGGCCAATATGGTGACACCGCATCTCTACTAATAATACAAAAAAAAAAAAAAAAAAAAATCAGCTGGGCATGACGGTGCACGTCTGTAGTCCCAGCTACTTGGGAAGCTGAGACAGAAATCGCTTGAACCCGGGAGGCAGAGATTGCAGTGAGCTGAGATCACACCACTGCATTCCAGCCTGGATGACAGCGTGAGACTCCATCTCAAAAAAAAAAAAAAACTACCAACATTTACTAAGGATACATCATAAAGAGCCACTCTCCTAATCACAAATATATAAATAAATCTGATACCCAGCTTTAACTGGGAATGTATGTAGTCATGTGGATAAAGAAAAATGCTATCAAAACAGTCTAACTGAATAGTAATATGATGCAAAGAATAACCAGCTGGGAAAATAACCAAGTAACAAGCCAGGGAAAGAAATTTTGTACTTGGAAAATTTCTTACTTACCCATTTAATATGTGTTCAAAAAGATGGACTTGACCATCTCTGCAAACAACAGCCAACTTGACAGGCTAAAACAAAAATGTAACCAACGTATTATAAAGGAAAACATATTCCAGTCCCCAATATAACTTATGAAAACTCAGCTCTCCTCCCCACCCCTTTACATAATCAGAAGAAAAAAAAAAATAGCAAGAATCCATTTAAAAATAATTACCTCTGTCAAAATAACCCTTAGTAGTAGGGTTGTCAACATTCTAGATAAATGTTTATGCCAAGAAGATAATAGTCAAGGAGAATGAACCCTCAAAATTAGATGAGCAAAGTTAATACCAAGTGCAAAGGCTGGTAACATGGAGCTGACATGCCCCTCATGCCGGGAATACAGAAAAAGCCATTTTGCATGTATGGCTAGGAAGGGGCGTTGTAAGCCCTCATTGCCTCTCTTCCTCCATCCCTGTCAATGTAAGTGGCCTAGGCTGTCTGGAAACGCCCCCATCCACCTAGGAAGGGGTGTTGTAAAGTCCTGACCACCTCTCTCCCTCCATCCACTGTCAGTGTGAGTGGCTTACGCTCTCTGCATGCTCCTACCTACCATACTCTTGCTGTCAGCCTCCCTAAAGCTCATGTTTTAAAGTTCTGAAGCTTTCTTAAGGAAAGCTTAAATGAAAGCACTTCCAAAATACTGCTATAACTTTAGTTATAAAGGTAATGAGAGAATTCAGGGAGTAGCCAATACATTGAAAGAAAATGAAGTATACAAAATGTTTTAAGACCAACTTTGCACAACTGTAATATATCAATTAAAAACTAGAAAAAAGAGACTAACATTCATTGTGAAAACAACTTTGAAAATGTTTAAAATTCTTTACTGGTATATTTAAAAATAAGAAATCTCAGAAAGGGGAGTTTTACTAAAGAAAATTTCATTCTTTCTCAGGTTTAGTGCTATATGACAGTTGTCAGGGGAGGGCCAGGTACAGTGGCTCAGGCCTGTAATCCCAGCACTTTGGGAGGCTGGGGCGGGAAGATAGCTAGAGCCCAGGAGTTCAAGGCCAAACTGGGAAATACAGCGAAACCCCGTTTGTGCAAAAAAATACAAAAAAAAATTAGCACAGTACAGAGGGCACATGCCTGTAGTCTCAGCTACTCACAAGACTGGGGTGGGATCACTTAGGCCCGGGAGGTCAAGGCTACGGTGAGCCTTGATGGCACCACTGCACTCCAGTCTGGGCAACAGGGTGAAACCCCATCTCAAAAAAGAAAAAGTTATCAGGGGAGAGACCATTTCCATGCCATCCAATGTTCTAGTTCCCCCTTGTGCAACTCCAATTGACAGGCATGGAAATCTAACCTGTCTAGAGCAGTTGGTAACCTTTGAAGACAAAATAAGCAGATTGCTCTGCAATACCATAACTAAGGTTTTGTTTAATTCTAACGTATTGCTGTTAACTACAATCTCATATGAAGTGTCCGAATTAGAACTGGCTTCCTGGTTTAATGTCTTAAAAAATCATTTAAAAGGCCGAGCATGGTGGCTCATATCTGTAATCCCAGCACCTTGGGAGGTCAAGGCAGGTACATCACAAAGCAGAGATTGAGACCATCCTGGCCAACATGGTGCAACCCCGTCTCTACTAAAAATCCAAAACTTAGCTCAGTGTGGTGACGCGTGCCTGTAGTCCCGGCTACTCCGGAGGCTGAGGCAAGAGAATCATTTGAACACAGAAGGCAGAGGCTGCAGTAAGCCAAGATCACGCCACTGCACTCCAGCCTGGCAAGAGAGCAAGACTCCGTCTCAAAAAAAGAAAAAAATCATTTCAAAAAAACAGTTCTGCTCCTTTATTATTGATAATTTTCAATATAATGCCAATAATAATCCAAGATGACATCTGAATCAAACCTAAAATTAAATCTAAAAGTAGCAACAGAATTCAGTCAGAAAAAGAGAAAGTAAAAACTCAGTCTTGGCTGGGCGCGGTGGCTCATGCCTATAATCCCAGCACTTTGGGACGCGGAAGCAGGTGGATCACATAAGGTCAGGAGTTCAAGACTAGCCTGGCCAACATGGTAAAACTCCATCTCTACTAAAAACACGAAAATTAGCCGGGCATGGTGGCACGTGCCTGTAGTCCCAGCTCCCTGGGAGGCTGAGGCAGGAGAACTGCTCCAACATGGGAGGTGGAGGTTGCAGTGAGCAGAGATCACACTATCACACTCCACCCTGGCCAACAGAGCGAGACTCCATCTCAAAAACAAAACAAATAAACAAACTCGGTCTATTCTCTACATAGAGTAGTGGCAAGTTTTGCTACTCCAAGGAAGCGATTTTTCTCCCATAAATTACTTATATTTAAGAACCTACCTCTAAAAATTACACACACAGCAGGGCACGGTGGCTCATGTCTGTAATCCCAGCACTTTGGGAGGCCGAGGCGGGTGGACTACCTGAAGTCAGGAGTTCAAGACCAGCCTGGCCAACATGGTGAGACCCCATCTTTACTAAAA